CCCCCCCCTCCCCCGAGTCGAAATCCTGGCTACGGGCCTGGTTAGCACATTTTGTTATGTGCCTTCAAGTCAAGTCTAGCCTACTGCAAGGTTATCATAGCCTTTTCTTGACATTGAGAAACTGCAAATCGCTTCTGGTGTGAGAGAATTGGCCGTCTGCAAGGACATTGCCCAGAGAATACCTGGATGTTTTACCAACGGAAAAAAGCATGAACAAATTTATATGCACAGTGCCCATATCTTGTGTCTAGTGCAAAAAGAAAGAATGGAGCGAGGGAGGGAGGAAAAAATACAATAGTTAAAATGAAGAACAATTTAAACCAACATAAACTTAACGGTATTTCAGTGGAAGGTCCCTGGGGCCATCCAGTCCAACCCCCTTCTGCCATGCAAGAAAAGCACAGTCAAAGCACCCCCAACAGATGACCATTCAGTCTCTGAAATAATAATAACAACAACAGCAACAACAGGAGTAACCCAGGGGCCATCCAATCTCCTTCTGCCTTGAAGGAAAAGCATAGTCAAAGGACCCCCAACAGAGAGCCATCCAGCCTTTGCAATGATACTACTACTACTACTACTACTACTAATAATAATAATAATAATAATAATAATAATAATAGGAGGAGCAACCCAGAGGCCATCCAGTGCAACCTCCTTCTGCCTTGCAGGAAAAGCACAATCAAAGCATCCCCAACATATGCAATAACAACAACAAAAACAACAAGAATAGCAGCAATCCCCAGGGCCACCCAGTTCAACTGGCTTCTGCCTTGCAGTAAAGCACACTCAAAGTAGCAGCAGTGGGGAAGCCTCAAAGGCCATGGCAGAAGTGTGGAAGACTTGTAGGCCACAATGATGGTGGTGGGGAGGCCTTGTAGGTTGTGGTGGTGAAGGTAAGGAGGCCTTGTAGGCCTTGGCAGCAGCAGCAGGGAGGCCCGCTAGGCTGCATCGGCAGCAATGAGGTTCTACAGGTTGCATGCTTCCTAGGCAGGGGGAGCGGGGTGTGTGTAGGAGCACAATTTGAGAACTGCTGGCCTATCTATTGCAGGATGATATAATAAACCAAGAGTGGGAAAAGTGCCACTGTCAAGAAGAAGACTAAAGCACAACTTAGCAAGTTAACTGGTTTTTGTAACTTTCTTAAATAGGCAACATGTTTAGCCAAGACCCAGATCCCTGCAGCATTTAGAGAGAGTCTATCACTTTTTGTACAGTGAATGGCGTGGAGTAGACACCTAAGAAACCTGGCAGAAAATGCTTATGTCTAGAATCCCATCACCACACCCATAATATTCTATGAAAAGGTTGAGTGATTTGTATAGTAGAAAGTTATTTCTGAGAACATCCATTGCCATTCAGTTCCCATCGTTAATGAAACACAATATCTCTTTCTGTCAGTTTTGACATCCATGATGTGGTTGCCAACTACATGATGGCAGAAGTATGTAACTATATAACTGCATAAAAATATGCCAAGAAAAATGGAGCAACAGGTAAAAGCAGGATATGACTGAAACAACCACAATCACAGCCCTAACACTAAAATGAATTGAAAGACACCTTTGCCCTTTACCAAAAAGACAGTGACAGATGAGCCTCTCTGGCATAGACACTGAGAACTGGGAAGCCCTGGCCCTTGAGCACTCCAGCTGGAGGTCAGCTGTGATCAGCAGTGCTGTAGAATTTGAAGAGGCACGAATGGAGGGCGAAAGAGAAATGTGCCAAGAGGAAGGCACGTCAAACCAACCCCAACCGAGACCGCCTTCCACCTGGAAACCAATGCCCTCACTGCAGAAGAAGATGCAGAGATCAAGAATAGGGCTCCACGGTCACCTACGGACCCACCAGTACACTGATCTTGGAAGACAATCTTACTCGAAAAACGAGGGATCACCTAAGTAAGTCTCTGGAATCAGCATTGTATAGCCACCAAGAAAGGCCTTTCCCCATTGTGTTCCCAGATAGTAAAAGTACTTGGAAAAGATACAGAAAACAGTTGGATAAGATAAGCATCTCGCCAAAATTTGTTGGACTAGAATCTTAGCCTGCATAGCCATTGGTAAGGAACTATGAAAAATGCAGTCCAACAATACTTGCAGAGCCACCCCAGTGCATTTGAGGAAGTGCAACTATAATTTTAGAAATCAAAAGCAGACAACTGAGATGGAGAACTGGAACCCCCTTTAGCCATCATGAGTATCTATCCTTGCTAAGTATGATGAAAGTTGTATGCCAGCCACATCTCAAGAGCCAGATTTTTACTATTTCTATTATTTTAGTGACACAATCATTTATTTATTTTATTTATTTACTACACTTTTATCCTGCCCTTTTCAGTCTGAAGACGACTCAGGGTGGCGTACAGGTTGGCAACATTAAATGCTGAGCACACATAAATACATCATTTAAAACAGGTTGAAACACATAATAAAATTCATTATGTCACAGCAAATGAGATCTATCTGCTGCATTTGGTATCACAAAATCACAAGTTGAACACTTCCCAAGCATCTAGGACTGTGTGATGTATTTTCGAATGATGTGCGAAGATCCAAGCAAGGTGGCCTTTTGCAGTTGACAGATCCTGATTTTGTCAGTTTATTGTTTCCAAATGCCGGCTGAGGGCTTTTGGCACGGCACCCAGCGTGCAGTTGACCACTGGGACCACCTGTACTGGTTTATGCCAGAGCCTTTGAAGTTCGATTTTGAGGTCCTGATAACGGCTGAGTTTTTCCTGTTGTTTTTCCTCAATGCGACTGTCACCTGGTATGGTGACATCAATAATCCAAACTTTTTCACAATCGTAATGTCTGGTGTATTGTGTTTCAAAACTTTTGTCAGTCTAGATTTGAAAGTCTCACAGTGTTTCAGCATGTTCATTTTCCACTACCTTTGCAGGTTTATGATCCCACCCGTTCTTTACTATTGGCAGGTGGAACTTGTGACATAAGTTCCAATGAATCATTTGTGCCATAGAGTTGTGCCTCTGTTTGTAGTCCATCTGTGCGATTTTCTTGCAGAAGCTGAGGATATGATCCATGGTTTCATCAGCTTCCTTGCATAGTCTGCATTTTGGGTCATTAGCTGATTTTTCAATTCTGGCCGTAATGGCATTTGTTCTGATGGCTTGCTCCTGAGCTGCAAGAAATAGCCCTTTTGTCTCCTTCTTCAGTTTTTCATACGTGAGCCATAACCAGGTCGTCTCCTTATCAATTTTTTAATTGCAATTATCGACTTATTATTTCTATTATTTCTATTATTATTATTATTATTATTATTATTATTTACCCACCTCACTTTATGTCTTGAAGTTATCTGCCTCTTGCCATATACACCATATCAAAGAATGCCTTATTGGTCTTCCTGTGTTTCTGTCCTCATCAGTTTGAGTTTGAGAAATTGTCCATAGAAACCCAAATTCACTTCATACATTATACAACAGCAAGACTTTGTTTATATCACAACAGCAACTTGTTCTGGTGCCATAGCAAACACATAT